TGAGCTTAAACCTCTCCATTTGGACTTTTGTTTGTATTTGTTGGGGAGCAAGCCTCAGGGAGAGCCTGGAGAGGTAGGAGAAGGCGGCTACTCCTTGGGCAGAGTCCCAAAATGTTTCTCACAACGCTATGACAAGCACTTCAAATCTGGTTCATACAGCTTTAGCTATTATCTTAGGGTGTTTTGAACGAAGAATAACCCCTGTAGGCTCTGTGGTGATTTGAATGAGCATGGCTCCTATATGTTTGAATGCTTGGTCCCCACTTGGTGGAACTGTTTTTGGAAAGGATTAGGAAATGTGGCCCTGTTGTATGTAGGAGGTGTGTAACAGGGAGTGTTCAATAGCCCACACCAGGTCCGGTCCCACCCCACTCTCTGTCTCTCCGTCTTTCAGGTAAGCTGTAGGCTCTCAGCTACCGCTCCGGCTATGCCCGCCTGCTGCCATGCTTCCCACCACGATGATTATGGACTGACTCTCTGAAATTGTGAGCAAGTCCCAATCAAATGCTTCCTGCTGGAAGTTGCCTTGGTGGTGGTGCCTCTTCACAGCAACAGAAGAGTAACCAGGATCCAGTGTTCGAGCACCTGGCCCCTCGGTAGCACTGTTTGGTGAGGTGGTGCAACCTTGCTGGAGGAAGCCATCGCTTTGAGAACTGATAGTCTCACCCACTTCCAGGTCACTTCCTCTGCTTCTTGACTGAGGCAGGAGATGTGATGCCTCAGCTTCCCGCTCCAGCTGCCCGCTGACACCCTTCCCTGTCGTTATGGACTCTCCCTCTGGAACGGGAAGCTCAAACTCTTTTGCCTGAGATTGCCTTTGGGTCATGGTATTTTGTCTCCGCAATAGGAAAGTAAAACGTTCACAGCCCAGTGCTGCCGTGTGGAAGCGAGCCCCAGAGGGCGTGTGTTAAAATCTTTGTGTCCGGCTGATTATTGGGAAGTAGTGGAAACTTGATTAGGTGGAGCCTAGTGGGAGGAAGTCGGAAGCTGGGTCACTGGGGAAACGCTTTTCTAGGGGCTATTAATACTCTGGTCTTCCTTGTCTCTTTCTTTCTTGTTCACCACAAAGTAAACAGGGTTCCTCAGCCACACAGCCTCACCGTCTGTTGTGTGACTTTTCCCGGGGAGACGCAAGCAAATATCTGTTTGCCTCTGATAGGACACTGATGATAGAATTAAGAAATGATTCTTCTCAAGTCTAGTTGAGTTTATTGGGTTGCTTGTAGAAGTATGGGTGACTGAAAGGCAAGGGTGCCACGGAGAAGCCCACCCGTGGAAGTTACATCCCTGGAGATCCCTGTGCTAATTCCAAATACCTGGGCTGTGAGGAGTCTTCTTTCACTAATTGTTGCTGCTCATATAACCCTGCTGGAGGAGGTACGGCGTGTGCTTGTGTGTGTGTGTGTGTGTGTTTTCAACATTCAATGTCTTCTTTATTGCTTTTCTACTTTATTTTTTAGGCAGTCTCTCATGGAACCTGGAGTGGAGAGGTCAACAACCCCGCCCCCCTGCGGCTCTGGGAGTATGGGGCATGCACCACTGTACCTGGCTTATTTTCTAAGGTGGGTGCGGGGGATTTGAACTCAGATCCTCACTCTTGTGCTGCAGACACTTACCACTGGTCTCCCCAGCCCCAACCAGTTACAAGTTCTGACCAGATTTGCTTGGTTCTGGACATTTCTTCAGGCCATCCGAATTTGTTTTCTTCCCTCTGGCAAAATTGTTGTAATTGTCTCCTATATTTATTCTGCCCCTTTCCTGGAGGCAAGGCATCATCTCGGGTTACCTGGTTTCATGAACAAAACAAAACAAAACAGCAGTGCCCACATTACCCCAAAGCCTGGGAAACACAGGTGCCCAGTGGCCCTTTCCCTAGGAAAACTGAGTTTGCATTTTAACAAGACCTCCAGGTGTCTGTCTCATTTGCACATTAGAAGGGCAGACAGGAGACCTCACAGAGTGCAGGGGAACCAGCTTGCCTCAGCTGGTCTCATCCCCAGCGGCAGGGGTGGGAATTCTCTAAGGATAATTTTCCAAGTGTGGTCCAAAAGCCTGCAAGGGCTTCATTTCGGACTTCACTACAAACCTTCCCCGTCAGGTTGTGGGAATCGGCCTTTTTAAAGTGAGCAGGCTGCTCGCTCACAGGTCACTGATTTACATGGAAGTCGGAGAACCACAAATGCCGGCCTTACACTTCCCCCTTGAAAAGCAGCCCCGTCTAATTGAGTTTAGCCTGCACCAGCCCAGAGGAAACTGAGTTACTCTCTGAAGAAAAAGAAACGGTCTCTTCCTTAATCCTTCAAATTTCTGAAGCGAGTCATTCTCCTGCCTGCGTGACAGTCATCTGGCTATCTGGCTAGACTTTCCAACAGTTGCTTCGATTCCCGATTCTTCTGGCTACCCTCCTACTCCTCCGCCCTCACACAGACAGACTTCCAGTTCAACTTTCTATATTCCTCAGAGGAAGGCAGCCCAAAGCAGAGAAGAACCTTTCCCTGGTGTAGTGTTCTCATGGGCTTTGATCAGAACTTTGCGAGTTTTAGTGTTTTAGGTTGGTTTTTGTTTTGTTTCAGTTGTTTTGGTTTTCACAGCATCTCACCTGTCCCAGGCTGGTTTCCAACTTGCTATATATCCAAAGATTACTTTGAACTTCTTATCCTCCTGCCTTCACCTCTGGAGTGATGGGATTTGAAGACACGCATCATCACACCTGGTTTCCGCAGTGCTGGTAATCAAACCTCGGGCTTCACGCACGCACGCACGCACGCACGCACGCACGCACGCACGCACGGCAGGCACTCCACCAAATGATCTATAATCCCGGTCCCTCTACAGCTCTTTTGAGACAGATTCTTACTGTGTAGCCCAGGCTGGCCTTGAATTCCCCTCTCTCTCTCTCTCTCTCTCTCTCTCTCTCTCTCTGGCATATCCCCCTTCTGCACATATGAGCATGTGTGTGTGTGGAGGTTGGAGTTGGATGTTAGGTGCCTTCTTCAATTGTTCTACACCTTCTTTTTGGAGCCGGGTGTCTTGCTTTACCTGGTACTTGCCAATTCACAACTTAGCTAGGCTGGCCAGCCAGCAAGCCCCGGTGAGTCTTCTGTTTCTGTCTGGTCAACACTGAGATAGTAGGTGTGTACCACGGAGCCTTGTGTTTTACTGTGCGAGGTATCCAAACTTGGGTTCTCATTCTTGTGTGGCACATGGTTTACCCCAGGCTCCCAGCTTGTGTCTCTGAGTGCTGGGTTACAGGTGTGTGCCCCCACACTTGGCTCTGTGTGTTTTCATGAAGTAGCCAATGGTACTGGAAAAGCTACGCGCCATGTGATCACAGTGTGATGCTTATGTTTAGCTTATGTTAACTTGCATTTGAACTCTACTCATGACCCAGACAAATTCCACCGCCACGATTCTGCCCATGGTTCCGGCTGACAGTGGATTTCCGGTTGCTGGTCTTCAGGAGGATGAACAGTCTTGGATTAGGGCCACTCCTTCCACTTCCCCCAAATACACAACACATCCCAGCCTAATCTTTTTAACTTTTCAGTTAAGTCTTAAGCAAGTTCCTTGGTGTTATGCTTTGGATATTAAGTGTCCCCACCAAGGCTCATCTGAGGAAGGCTTGGGCTTCAGCTGAGGGTAATGTTGGATCATGACAGTCCTAACTTTATCAATGTATTAGGCCATTGACGAGTTCATGGCTGCATAGGCTATGAGGTAGTGGGTCCTAGCTGGAAGGTCACTGGACTTGTGTCACTGAAGAGTTAAAAGTCCCAAGACCCTTCCTGTGTCTCTATCTGCTTCCTGGCCACCATGAGGTAAACAACTTTCTCTGTTGAAATATCTTCCAACCATATGTCTCCTTTGCCATCAATCTGAGAACAACAGAGCCAGCCGAAGATAGACCTAAGACTCCGGAAACCATGAGTTGAGGTAAATCTTTCCTCCCTTAAAGCAATTTCCTCCCTGCAGGTACTCTGTTCTACTGTTAGGAAACTGCTCAATATACTCAGCTTTACAAGCCTATTTTCATCTGTAAAATGGGCATAATGACAGGTACCTGTTTTACAAGACAGATATACAGATCCAATAAAGCAATACAAAGAGCACCTCATAAAATATAAAACTATAAACTCGGGCTATTAATAAAAGCAGCCCCAAGTTACTAATAGTCTATAAACTTAACCATAATAGTAATTAATGAATGGATTGTATTTCTCCGAGTCCTAAATCCTCTGAAACAGTGAAAACCTGACACAATTTGCTTCCTCCCCCACAATCGCTGACTCGTTGTTGTCTGTCTCTGTGTGTATGTGTGCGCATGTGTGTGTGCGTGCACGCGCGCGCCTGTGTATGTATGTGACAGAGTTCTTGTCTTCTATCAACAAGAGGGAAGAGAAACCCATTGTGAGAACCAGGGAGTGCCAGGATTCTTTAGAAAGCAGCCTCATGGAAATGGGTAAAACCAGAAGAATCTGTATTGCTTACATGGGTGTCACAGTGTGCAGAGTACTCACTTCCAGGTTCTCGCCAAAAGAGGAAGTTAAACTTGCTAATGTTTGGTCATTGGAATTTTGCAGATGGGGGTGCCCTAAGCTAAGGGGAACCTACAGTGAGCATGAGATATCCCACCAACACAAGACCACACCTGCCTCAGTGCTGAGAAAGCCCTCTGGAGTTAGGCAGGGATACCGAGGCTTCGGCTGGAAGCGAGTGGATGTCTGCAGACCACCTGGCAAGTAACAAATTACCTGGAGGAAATAAACGCCTAAGGTTTAACTTGAAAGACTGAGAAAGGCTTGGTAGTTCTCACCAGCGCCCGGTGCTCTGAACCGTCAGGCACCTTCCGAAAAGGACTTCTGCTAGTTTGCATGATGGACCTATTGGACATGATTTACCCATTAGAACATACATCTTTTCCCAAGAGATGAACAGGGTTGGAACTGGAGAACAGAGGCAAAGGAGGAAGCTAAGGAGTAAATACACTCAAACCACTCAAGTAACAAACACCTAATATTTATTAATAAATTAGTATACTTGAAGGCATTTTTCTGCTATCAGTTCCTCACCACCCAGCCCCCCCACACAAAGGCAGCCGACACCACCTTTGCGGTAGAGCCTGACAGCTGAGCGTTAGGGGGCGAGTTGATGAGTGAGAGCGTAGTTGCAGATTGATCAGACAAGAGTTCTTACAGCTGCAGCCAGTTTTAAATGAAGTGATTGATGATGAAAACCCAGCAAGGCCTTGAGGGCAAACTGGACCTATTGACTATGTGTATTAAAAAAGAAAAAAAAAAAATCTTCCAAAGCAAAGCTGGGCAAAAGCTGCCACTGGCTTGGTTGACTTTCCAAGATGCAGCAGAGGTGTCCCTAAAGGAGGAAGATCAAGTTCTTTGGTGGCCCAGGTGTCAAGCCACTGAAACAGCCAAGTCCTGATGACTTGAAGATGTCATTCTCCAGCCCAGAGCGTATTAGCGTTAAGAGGAGTACAAGTTACCAAGCAGTGTATGGCGTCCAGATGAAACCATACAATCGGCGATAGATAGTGTGGTCAAGTTTCAGCCATGAATATGATGAACTTTACAACAAGACATGAAAAAGATAACTGGAAGTCTAATTGCATTACAGTAATCAACAGGATCTTAAATCCCCTCGGTCCTTAAGAACACTTGGAAAGGACAAACAGTAAGATAAAGAGGAAAAAAAAAAAACCAAAAAAACCAAAACAGAAAAAGTAGGTGCGGCTGTTGAAAGACTGGTATTTGCTTATAGAAGCCACAAGATGCCATCATGATTTTAAGAAGTTAAGAGTCTCAGAACCCAGCATGTGGGAAAAGTCACACTGCATTTACGTTAAGTTTTTAAAGTGCACAGAACAGTTTTGAAAAGATGTAAGAAGGCAAAAACGGAGCATCTGTGGAACTTAAAAAAAAACTTTAGTGGTGGGCATTTTCCAACAGTTATACATCGAAAAGGCTTTATAAATTCCCTTTCAAGAAGAGAAAAACGAGGAAAGAAAAATCCCCAAACCCCAAACTCAAGCACCGGCCATACTCTGTTAAACACATACATACGCGCGCACACACCAGAACACAAACGTCAGAAACAAAATGAAACCAGCCCGCCAGAAGGTCCGTTTCCAGAATGCAGGGCCCCGGTGTTCTACAACAGGTCGGGAAGATGGCTGTACACAGAGTCCAGGAGGGTCTGGCTGGCTTCTTGGCTTTTGACCCCAATGATCTCAAAGAGCCTGTCCAGTTTGTCCTCAGCCTGGGGGATCTCTTCAATCACCCGCAGCTCCTCGGGATTCAGGATGTGCAGCATGTCATCGAAGATGGGCTGCAAGTCACAGGGGTCCAGGCGGACCTGCCGCAACACCGTGTCCTTCTTTTCTGCGGGGGACAGGGGAAAGAGAACGTGACAGCTGAGAGGGGCCAGAGGAGGAGGTGAGGAGCTGCCCGCGTTCTGAGCCTAGCAGGTTCCCACCAATGTGAGTGAGCGAACCTTCCGGGACATTTTAAACAACACAGGCCTCTTTATTGGCCTGGTGCATAAGGACAGCAAATAAGCTTTTCAGGGCTGTGGTGACCCAAGTCTGTAATCCCAGCACTTGGAACGTCAAGGCAGGAAGAGGAGTTCAAGACCATCCTCCAGCCTGAGCAACATGAGACCCTGTCTCATAAAACAAAGACACCAACAGAAAAAGATCTGCTTAACAGAAATGAGCCAAAGACCTGCTGGAATGGGTTCTTTTAAAAGACTTATTCTTATTTTCAATCCCGTGTATGTTTACGTGTCTTTGTGTGCAAATTTGCACACGGATGTAGGTACTATCTGACGCCAGAGGCATCAGATCCCCTAGAACTGGGGTTACAGGTATTTGTAAGCCACCCAATACGGGTTCTTCTGGGAAGAGAATACAGATGGCAAAAATCAGTCTTCGCTGTTTACCTCTGAGTGATCTCTTTAGTCTCCTTGAATGGATTCCTAATGTGGTGATAATGTGACATTTACCAAGTCTTTAACGGCTTCTAAATTCTTCTAAAACTCAGAAGGAAAGTGTTGACATGCGTGGGAACAAAAGTCCCAAGCCAGGGTACTCTGTTTCTGTCTCTTTACAATTGCATCGTGATACTTAAAAAAAACAACAAAAAAGCTGGGCGGTGGTGGCGCACGCCTTTAATCCCAGCACTCGGGAGGCAGAGGCAGGCAGATCTCTGTGAGTTCAAGGCCAGCCTGGTCTACAGAGTGAGTTCTGGGACATCCAGAGCTACACAGAGAAACTCTGTCTCCAAAGACAAAACAGAAAAATGACTTCTGACTTCCCAGATGGGTTATACTTTTAATCCTTAGACTTAGCAAGTGTGGTAAGTCATTTTAAAACACCAGCTATAGTGCGTTTTATCAGATGACCCCTGAAACACCCACTGGATAGCATGCTCAGGACAGAAGTAATGGGTATGTGTGAACGCTGGCTCTGGGACAGGCTTGTGAAGACTTTCTAGGTGTGTCCATGTGAACCAGTGGTGTGGCTTCCTTGAGGCCACTTTTATCTTGGAGGGCGTCCTGAGCCCGCCATTCCATTGGCTCGGCTACAGCTGGGCTGTGGAAGTGGCCGGGGAGAAGCCCCCAGGCCCCGTGGATGCTGGTACCTTTGGTAATAAAGGAGCCGTTCCTGCTCAGTGCCGATGAACCGCTGGACGTGGAGTCGCAGCGCAGAAGCGGCTCCGACTCGTCCACGAAGAAGCCCTTGTTTTTGTCCAGAGGGGAGGGCTCTACAGTCAGGAGAGTGGAATTCTCAAGCTTCACGTTAGGACTGGGCATGGGACTTGGGCTAAGTGGACTGGGGCTCATGGGGAGAGCCAGTTTGTCGGTTTCCAACTGTGGAAAGAAAAAAAAAATAATTTTATTATATATATATCAAATCATATAGGAATAAAATAAAAGTAACCCCCCACTCCCTTAACATTTAATATTTTTGGATTCTTCCATTTATATGTGTATTTTTTGATATGTCGTTCCATTGTGAGTAAACACAGACTCACTTTTAGACAGTGTCTTACTATGTAGACCAAACCGGCTTTGAACTCACAGATTCACCTCCCTCTACCTCCTGAGTGCTGGGAATGAAGGTGTGCGCCACCACACCATGCCCCAACTCATTCTTCAACCTCTTCAGAGTACATGTGAAGCCACGGGTGGTGGTGACAGACCAAGTTTGGGTTTGAGGATAGCCTGGGCTAACAAGATTCTATCATTTAAAAAAAAAACCAACCAACAAAACAAAACAAACAAAAAAAGCACACATGAGCAGAAAGTGTAATACTAAAAATGAGGAGACCTGTAAGGTGATGTCATCCAGCTACTCTGGAGATGGCAAGTTCAGTGCCAACCTGAGCAACATGGCAAGGCACTGCTCTAAAAAAAAATACAAACAGAAACTGAGGGGACATATGCATGTGCTATTTTAGTGACTTGTCTTATTGATGTGATGAAATACTCTGGAGAGCAACTCGAGGGAGAAAGTGTTTATCCCAGCTCACGGTTCAAGGCACGGTCCACGGCAGCGGCAGCTTCAGGGAGCAATGAGGGCAGGAAGTCTAGTGCAAGCCAGGAACCCAGCCTTGGGAATGGCCCTGCCTACAGTGGATCTTTAGACGAGGCATGGTGGCTCATGCCCAGCGATGTGGAAGGCTGAGGCAGAATGGCACCTGTAAGTTTGGGGCTGGCCTGGTGGGTTTCAGGCTGCCCTGTGTGATCATGGTGCTGTCTCCTTTAAAAGGAAGGAAGGAAGGAAGGAAGGAGGGAGGGAGGGAGGAAGGGAGGGAGGAAGAGAGGGAGGGAAATGATGCGTCTTCTCACATCAGTCAACACAGACATGTCCAGAGGCCCATTCCTGAGGGATTCTAGACCCTGTCAAGTTGACAACAGGAACTGCCACACTCACTGAGCTGTTACCTCAGGGGCGTGGAACTGGACACAGGTTAAGAAAAAACTCAGTCTAAACTCAAACTCTAACAACCAGAAGGAGTCTTAGATCGTACCCAGATGTTCCCCTCTGCCAGGAGCTGAAGACAACGTAACCCTAACACCACGCCTCAGACTATGATTACAGATAAGGCCATTAAAGAAGTTATGAAGAAAAAGAGGTCGTGAGCGTGGGTCCTAATTCAGCACCACGGCATCCTTCATAAAGACAGAGGACACAGCCACGCCCACAGCCACATCGAGGGGAGACCCGTGAAGTCACCCGTCGTCAGCGAAGGTGATAGGCCCAAGAAGGCTCCAAAAATAGGGAGGAAACAAGTGTCTTTGCTGGAGGCACCCCATTTGTGGTGTTCTGTCACCCCAGCCGTGGCAATCCGTCACAGGCCCCCAGACCTTAGCATGACCGACACCATGAGGGAAGCCCCGTTCGGACATGGACCCAGCACATAGGCTGCAGCACCTGTCAAAACTTAGAAAAACCTAATCCATCCAAGTTCGGGGAAAGTCCCCACACGCACTAACCTTGCCTTTCGGCTTCTGGAGGTCTGGCACTGGTTCACTGCTCTTGCCAACTGAGGTGTGTCAACCCAGCTGGGCTGAAAAGTTTACTCTGAAAGGGTCCCCAAACCCAGTCACTGGTCAGCTGATAAAGACTTTCCATCGGCTTGAACCTGTCTCCGAGGGGTCTTCTCTGGTAGATGCTTCACAATAAAACTAGTGCTACATCCCAAACAGGTAAAAACTTCAGCCTGGGCCAGGCAATGATGGTGCACGCCTTTAATCCCAGCACTCGGGAGGCAGAGCCAGGCAGATCTCTGTGAGTTTGAGGCCAGCCTGGTTGGTCTACAGAGTGAGATCCAGGACAGGCACCAAAATGACACATAGAAACCCTATCTCCAAAAATAAAAACAAAAACCAATAAATAAATAAATAAATAAATAAATAAATGAATGAATGAATGAAAGAAAGAAAGAAAGAAAGAAAGAAAGAAAGAAAGAAAGAAAGAAAGAAAGAAAGAAGGAAAGAAAGAAAGAAAGAGACAAAAAACCAAACCAAACCAAACCACCAAACTTCAGCCTAGAAATGTGAAATAGCTTCTTTATTTTTAAATTGTGTGTGTGGGGTGGAGGGGGGTGGGGAGTGGATATGCACACTAGTGCAGGTGCTCACAGAGACCAGAAGGGGGCATTGGATACCCAGAGCTGGAGGAGCACCTGAACTACCTACACATTGTGCCTACTGAGAACCAAAATCAGGTCTTCTGCAAGAGGAGTGTGTGCTTGTAACAGCTGAGCCATCTCTCTATCCCCTCCTTTTCTTTTTAAAGAGTTCTCTTTTTTTAATTTATGTGTCTGTGTGTATGCCATAGGTGTGTGCATGCTTAGGAAGGTTATAAGAAGGCATCATAATCCCTGGAGATGGAGTTATAGATAGTTGTAAGCCATTCGGCATAGGTACTGTGAACCAAATCGGAAGAGCGGGAAGCACTCTTAACCACTAAACCACCTCTCCAGCCTCATGGAAGTGATTTCTGAAGGTCCAACAGGCAGGAAGCAGAACTGACACCAGACCTCAGGTACTGTGGAATATTACTTTAACTAGGCAAAGATGTATTACATTTGTTTATGTTGAGGGATAGTTCTTTAACTACGAAGAGGCGTGTTTCATTCGTTTATGCTGCATTTGTTTAACTATGTAAAGATGTGTTGCTGTTTCACCTTGCCTGCCTAAGGCACTTGACTGGTCTAACAAAAAACTTAACAGCCAATAGCTAGGCAGAAGAGAGATAGGCAGGGCTGGCAGGCAGAGAAAATAAGTAGGAGGAGAACTCTAGACTCGAGGAATGAGAGAAAAGAGAGAACAAGAGAAAAAAAGGGAGACACCTGGCCAGAAGCCAGGCAGCCGCCAGCCAGCCAGCCATGGAGGAAACAGGAAAGCAAGACATACAGAATAAAAGAAAGATAAAAAGCCTCGAGGCCAAACGTCAAGAGAAACAAGATTAGAACAGGAGCTAAGGTAAGGCCAAGCATTCATAACCAATAACAAGTCTCTGTGTCATGATTTGGGAGCTGGCTGGTGGCCCACAAGAAAGCCTGCCACACTCAGGCTTTCATTTCCAGAGACTCACAGCAGAGAAAGGGGGGGGGGCAGCCCTAAGGCTGCGGAGACCATGACGCCTGCTTTCCACAGTGGAGCCAGTTCCGACAGAGACAGGTACGTTCCCACCCCTCCCCCTGCTCTGTGAAGAATGGTTTCAGGGAGGCCAGAAACCAGGAACCTGGACGGATACTCCTAAGTATGGCAGTGAGGGATGACCAGGGCTTATGCCAGGAACATGCAGTGGGCATGGGAGTGGGTGAAGAGACCAAAGCCCAGAGAGGGCACACAGTCACCCCGAGAGACCCAGTGTTCAAGTCCATTTAACCTCTTCACTTTTAAGAAGTGCTTTAGAACTCCATCAGGTACTTATGGCATCCCCCAGTCCACTGATTTTATGCTTTTATTGGCTTTCCTGGTATAATGGTTATTACTGATTGTCAAGTTGACAAGCTGTAGGATCACCTAGCAGATAAGCCTCCAGGAATGCCTGTGAGGGCTTTTGTAGATTGGGTTAACTGAGGTGGAAGGCCTCACCCTAAATGTAGGGACTATTCCACTGGCTGGGAGAAAAAGGACTGGGTGCAGCGAGAGACGGCCTGGCAGTTAAGAAGACTTGCTGCTCTTACAGAAGACCAGAGTGCAGTTCCTAGCACTCACCAATGCTTAAAACCGAAGCTCCAGAGGATCCAATGCCCTCTTCTGGTCTTCACAGGCACCCCCCATACATGTGGTATACACATTTACACACACAACATAAATAAATATCTTTTAAAGGAAGAAGCGAGCTGAGTGCTAGCATTCATTTCTCTGTTTCCCGACTATAGAGGCAGTGTAACCAGTGTAATCGAGTTCCTGATGCCATGCCTGGACTGCATCCCCTTGAACTATCAATTAATAGAATCCTTCTTAAATTACTTCTTGTTAGATATTTGTTCACAGCAATGATGAGAAAAACAAACAAACAAACAAACAAACAAAAACCAACTAATATACCCAGAATGAGAATGGATGACTGTCCAGGAAGCAGATGGCCAGTCACACAGGACAGTGTTCGGAGATGACATACACTCTCCCAAAGCTGCTGCTGACCACCCTGAGAACTCTTATCCTTCTCCTAAGCCCTTCAAGTGAGATGCTGTCGAGCTCTCCAGGCAAAACAACGACTCTGATTTCATAGGATTACATTAAAGACATGAAGTAAACATGCCTGCCTCTTTTACAACTCTTAACGACCGAGACATTTTTTGCAAGTGATTGAATATCTGCAAAGACCACCAATTCCTGCACAGCGCTGACATTCTAACAGGATGTTCCCTTAAAGCACCGCCCACAGCTGGCTGTGCTTCCAGAGCTGGTTGACATGCATCCCCAGAGGGGCCCTTCTGATCCCCAGATAAGAGTTATGCACATGCTTTGAGTTTTAATTCAACAGGCCCCGGCATAGGGTGCTGTCCCCTGAAAACGCACGCAGTTACACACTCATGCCAACAATCCCCTCTGTGCCCCCAGCTGACAAAGAGCACTTGTCTACATTCTGATTCTCAGGGACATGACACTGGTTGACATGGCCCATCAATATAGCACACTGTTCTTGCTTTAAAAAAGAAAGAAAGAAAAGAAAGAAAGAAAGCACCTCCCACCCACAAATGAGTGCCAACAGAGAAGTCCACCCACCTATTTCCTGCACCCATTTCAAACTTCCAATCTTTATTTTCCCAACAGCTTCGCTAGAAGTTGGAAAGGAAGCACCAGACTTCCAGCAGAACTGCCCAAGGTCCTGAGCTGATGGATGC